AATTTGGTGTTGGGATGTTTTTATTATTTATTTATTTACTTTTTTATTTTGAGACAGAGTCTCGCTCTGTCACTCAGGCTGGAGTTTAGTGGCACGATCTCAGCTCACTGCAAGCTTGGCCTCCTGGGTTCACACCATTCTCATACCTCAGCCTCCTGAGTAGTTGAGACTACAGGCGCCTGCCACCACGCCCGGCTAATTTTTTGTATTTTTAATAGAGACGGGGTTTCACCGTGTTAGCGAGGATGGTCTCGATCTCCTGACCTCGTAATCCGCCTGCCTCGGCCTCCCAAAGTGCTGGAATTACAGGTGTGAGCCACCGTGCCCGGCCAGTGATGGGAAGTTTTTAACACTTATCCTTACTCTTGCTAAGGTTTCTCTTTAACAAAGCAAAGCCTTCTTCACAATATCTGAGTAGAATTAAATCACACTGTTTTATTGTCATTTTATTTATGCCTATAGAAAGTTCTATAGATAACAAAAAAAGATAACTGGTTTTTCATATGTGGTAGTGAAATAAACTTCAGCAAAAAGTGGATCCATTTAAATTATATATAAAGTAAATGGTGGTATAGGAAAGACAGATCAGCAAAAATGATAATGGGAATAAGTAACTGAAGGAGAGAAATGTGGATTTAGAAAGATTGCTTGCAGTTGACACGAGTGGGGACTACAGGGGGTGAAATTGGAAGTGGGCTGGCCAGTTAGGGGGCTGTTGCAGTATCCCTGGTGAGAGCAAACTTGAGCTTAGATCAAGGCAGCCTTCAAAGGATGAACAAAAGGAGTAGGCGGCTGGCCTCCAGAAGGCCGGTGACAGACAGGAGACACCAGAGCATGTTCTAGGGAGGTGACACTGACTGAAGTCCACTGGGTAGGTTCAAGGGCAGATGACAGAGACCAAGTCCCAGGGCCTGACCCCAGGTCTAAGGCAGTGAAAGTACTGGGCATGAAGACAAGAATTTTAAATTCCATTATTGGCTTTGGGTGCCAAGGTGAGCTCATACACAGGAATCAAGGAGCAGGAGGCAGCTTGCTGCTGGATCCTAAACCTGGCTCGGCACCACATTCACCAGGGGAGCTATTAAAAAACACCTAAACCTTAATGTTTACACATTAACTGGAATTGCCTATGCCTTGGGGGAATGGCCAGTAGCCCCTGTGGAAAACAGTTCAAGTCAGCCTTTTCATGTTTCCACTATATCATGGAGGAGATCAAGGGGTCAGACTGTGTAGACCGGTTCCAGGTCATGCAGGAATGCATGCAGAAATACCCAGACGTCTATCCCCAAGAGTCATCGGCGCCAGTCCAGACCTACTGGATCCTACTGAATCGACTAAGCCGGATCCCAGTGTACGATATATTTCACAGTTGCTCTGATAATTCTTATAAACCCAACCTGGATGTAACCACAGTGTAAAAACCCTTGCTACTCAAAGTGAGGTTCGTGGGCCAACAGCATGGGCATTACCTCGGAGCTTGTTAGAGATGCAGAATCTCTGGCCCTACCTCAGACCTCCTGAACCATTTTAACGAGACTCAGAAAATGTATTTGCATATGAAAGTTTAGGAAGCACTGTCCTAGACCAGTGGTTTTTTAAATCCTGGCTGCACACTGGATCACCTGGGGACCTTCAAGCCATAGTGGCTGGGAGTCTGGGAGTGCGGCCAACGTATCGGTAAGAGTTTTTTTACATTAAGCCTTTTAGGAACACTCAGTTGTAGGAAATAACATAGAGCAATCCTATATACACTTTACTCAATTTCCTCCAGTGGTAGCATATTGCAAAACTGTAGTAAAATATCACAACCGACATTGACATAAAGACAATCAAGTACAGAAGAGTTCCATCACCAACGTTGCCTTTCTATAGCCACATCCCCTTTCCTTCTCACCTCCCCCATCCCTAACCCCTGGCAACCACTAATCCGTTCTCCATTTCTATAATTGTGTCATTTCAGGAATGTTATATAAATGTCATACAGTTAGTAACCTTTTGGGACTGCTTTCACTTCACATAATTCTCTGGAGACTCATCCAGGTTGTTGGGAATAGCACTAGTGCATTCCTTTTTACTACTGTGTAGTATTCCACAGTTGGTTTCTCATTCACCTATCAAAGGGTATCTGGTTGTTTCCAGCGTTGAGCTATTATGAATAAAGCTGCTATAAGCATTCATGTTCAGGTTTTTTGTAGGCAAATAAGTTTTAGTTTCTTTGGGATAAATGTCCAGGAGTGCAATTACTCAAGTTTATGGTAGTTACATGTTTAGTATTTTAAGAAACCGCCATACTCTTCCAGAATGGTTGTATCGTTTTACATTCCCACCAGAAATATATGAGTGATACAGTGTCTCTGCAGTCTTCCTCAGCATTTGGTGTTGCCACTGTCTTTTATTTTAGCCATTCTGATGGCTGTGCAGTGATATCTCATTGTGGTTTTGATTTGCACTTTTCTGATGGCTAGTAATATTGAACATCTTTTCACAGGCGGATGGGCCATCTGTATCATCTATTTGATGATGAAATGTTTCCTCATGTCATTTGCCAATTTTCTCATCGGATTGTCTGCTTTTTACTGTGGAGTTTTGAGAGCTCTTTATATATTCTAAATACTAGTCCTTTGTAAGATATGTAGCTGGCAAATATTTTCTCCTTGTCTTTTTATCCTCTTAACAGGGTCTTTCACAGAACAAAATTTTTCCTTTTGATGGGGTCTAATTCATTGTTTTTTCTTTTTGTGGATCATGTTTTTAGTCACAAGTCTAAGAACTTTTAGCTTAGCTGTGGATCCTGAAGACTTCTTCTAATGTGTTTTTCTACAAGTTTTGTAGTTTTACATTTTACATTTAATGGTCTGTGGAGCATTTTGAGTTAATTTTTTGTTCATATGTTTTTTAGACGGAGTCTCGCTCTGTCACCAGGCTGGAGTGAAGAGGTGCGATCTTGGCTCACTGCAATCCCCACCTCCCGGGTTCAAAAGATTCTATATTTTTAGTAGAGACAGGGTTTCACTATGTTGGCCAGGATGGTCTCAATCCCTTAACCTCATGATCTGCCTGCCTCGGCCTCCCCAAGTGCTGGGATTACAGGCATGAGCCACCACCATGCCCAGCCTGAGTTAACTTTTTTATAAGACATAAGGTTTAGGTTGTTCAGTTTTTGCCTATGACGTCCAATTGTGCCAGCACCATTTGTTGAAAATGCTTTAATTTTGCGCCTTTGTCAAAAATCACCTGAGAATATTTGAGTGGTTCTATTTCTATTTCTTGACTCTCTGTTCTATTCTATTGATTTATGTGTCTACTCCTTTGCCAATATCACAAAGTCTTGATTAGTGTAGCTATTAATGTATAGTAGTTTTGAAATTGCGTAGGTTGATTTCTCCCATTTTATTCTCTTTTTCTCAAAATTATTTGAGGAGTTCTAGTTTCTTCACTTTTCCCTATACATTTTAGAAGAGTCTTGTCTATATCTGTAAGACATCTTGCTGATATTTTGATAGGAATTGCATTAAATCTGTATATTAATTTGGGAAGAATTGACATATTTACTCTGTTGAGACTTCCGATCCATAAACACTCTCCATTTATTTACATCTTTGATTTATTTCATCAGCATGTTGTAGTTTTCAGCACAGAGTCCTGTACAAGTTCATCTGAGAATGTGTTGTTTTCCTTTTTTTCCTTGTAGATATTTTCACTGAGTATAAGAGTCTGGGCTGACAGTTCTTTTCTTTCAGCATCTGAAAAATATAATGCCATTTTCTTGTCTCTATGTTTTCTGTGAGAAATCTGCTATCATTCCCATTATGGTAAGGTGTTTTTCTCTGACACTTTCAACACTTTTGTCTTTCATTTTCAGGAGTTTAATTATTATGTGTTTTGGTGTATATTTGGGGGGCTTATCCTGTTTGGTTAACAGCTTCTTGATTCTGTAGAGTTAGGTCTCTTGCCAAATTTGGGACATTTTCAGCCATTGTCTCTCAAAGCACATTGTCATTGCCACCCTTTTTCTCATCTCCTTCTGGGACTGTGATTATATGAATGTTAGATCTTTTGTTATAGTCCCGCAGGACCCTGGAGTTCTGTTTGTTTGTTTATTTGTTTATTAGTCTTTTCCCTCTGCTGTTCAGATTTGGGAATTTCTATTGTTTTATCTTCCAGTTTACTGATTCTTTCCTCTATTCCTGCCTTCTTTAAGCCCATCAATTGGGTTCTTTTTTTTTTTTTCAGGTAGAAATTATGTTTCCTTTTAATTGAATACTTAATTCACAATGTTCCCTCTCTTGCTGCTACTCTGGTAATAATTAGGTCCCCACCTCTCAAGAACATTGCACCTGGCCAGACTGAGAGCCAGTGTGAACATGGGCCCCAAACCAGGGCTTTCGGAATAACAAGGAACAGCCAAGCCAGCCTCTCCCTTCACTTAGAAAGGGACTGTGAATGTGAGGGTCCAAATCTTCACCGTCCAAACACAGAAAACCAGGAGCTCAACACCAACATGGAAACCAAACTGTATCAGGAATGAAGTGCAGTACCCCTTCACATACTCAAGGTCAAGATGGGTTTGCAGAAATCGTATCTGACCATCTGGCCTCTGCTAGTAGAGGCCCCACCCCAGCATTTTTAAGAGAAGATGTTTTTGTTTCTATTACTTGTATTATTTCCCCAAGGGGTACAAAATCTACCAAAAGGAATATAATGAATCAGAATAAATCAGCTCACTCACAAGAAACCTTCCTGGGTAATGGTTTTTAGTTGCTGAGCTTATTCAGCACATGATTTAAAAGTGACAAAATTCAGGGCAATCTGAAAAGAGAATTCAAAAGTGGCAGCTACAGGTTTAGGTAGGACACACATATATACAACCCCCATTTTTTTTTCAGTGTATATGTCAAGAGGTCAAGACCCCTGATCATCAAAATAAGTTATTTTGTGTATTACAGTGCACAGGACAACAGAGGGAAAGACACTTCCTTGGAAGGTGATAACAAGGCTTTTTGCAAAAGGTCCACTCCAAAAGGACTGGATCCCAGTGCCTTGTGGCCTTCATTAACTTGACCCCTCCTCTTCTTTGGTTGCAGTGGCTTCAGTGGGAGCTGTTTCTTCTGCTTGTTCTGCTGGCTGCTTCTTTTCTTCCTCTTCCTCATCCTCATCCTCTTGGGGATAGAGGTCTGGGTATTTCTGCATGCATTCCTGCATGGCCCGGAACCGGTCCACACAGTCTGACCCCTTGATCTCCTCCATGCTATAGTGGAAGCAGGAAAAGGCTGACTTGAACTGTTCCCCACAGGGGCCACTGGCCATTCGCCCAAGGCATGGGCAGTTCCAGTTAATGTCTCCATTGGCAGTATCTATCCATGCTCCTCGTATGGATCATTGGGTTCATCAGCCACCGATTCTGCATTGCTTGGAGTTTCCTGGTCTTCTTTGGTTACAAATATGGTTTGATCCTTCCCTTCCTGCCAGCAGTAGGACATGGCTGCAGCCCAGCCCTGAGACCTTGCAGAAGCGGCAGCAGCTGCAGCTTCACGCCATGACCTCCCTCTCCTCAGGCAGGGCGGGCACCTCTGGATTCTTATTTCAACTATTATTTCCATTCTAAATTTCCATTGGTTCTTCTTTATATTTTCTATTTCTTTGCTGAGACTTTATTTTTTTAATTTGTCTCAAGTGTGTTCACATTTGCATGTTGAAGCATTTTTATGATGATTACTTTAAATGTTTTGTCAGATAATTCTAACACTTCTGTCGTCATGGTATCTATTAATTGCTTTATTTATTCATTTTTAAATTTATCTTTATTTTTATTTTATTTATTTATTTTTTAAAGACAGAGTCTTGCTCTGTTTCCCAGGCTGGAATAGAGTGGCATGATCATAGCTCACTGCAGCCTCAAACTCCTGGTTCAAGCAATCCTGCTGCCTTAGCCTCCCAAGTAGCAGGGACTACAGATGCACATCACCATGCCTGGTTAATTTTTTAAAAAATTTTTGTATAGATGAGGTCTTGTTATGTTCCCCAGGTTGCTCTCAAATTCCTGCGCTGAAGGGATTCTCCTGCCTCAGACTTCCAAAGTATGATTGCTTTTTTTTTTCTCTTTGAGATGGAGCCTCACTCTGTCGCCCAGGCTGGAGTGCAGTTGTGCGATCTTGGCTGACTGCAAGCTCTGCCTCCCAGGTTCACACCATTCTCCTGCCTCAGCCTCCTGAGTAGCTGGGACTACAGGTGCCCACCACCACGCCCAGCTAATTTTTTTGTATTTTTAGTAGAGATGGGGTTTCACCGTGTTAGCCAGGATGGTCTCGATCTCCTGACCTCGTGATCCGCCTGCCTTGGCCTCCCAGAGTGCTGGGATTTCAGGCGTGAGCCACCACGCCTGGATAGTATGATTGCTTTTTAAAAATCCTATTTGGGCCAGGTGTGGTGGCTCACGCCTGTAATCCCAGCACTTTGGGAGGCTGAGGCAGGCAGATCATGAGGTCAGGAGATCGAGACCATCCTGGCTAACACGGTGAAACCCCGTCTTTACTAAAAATGCAAAAAATTAGCCGGGCATGGTGGCATGCGCCTGTAGTCCCAGCTACTTGGGAGGCTGAGGCAGGAGAATGGCTTGAACCTGGGAGGCAGAGGTTGCAGTGAGCCGAGATCACACCACTGCACTCCAGCCTGGGCGACAGAGTGAGACTCTGTCTCACACACACACAAAAAAATCCTATTTGAATTCCCTTCTCATTTTTTGATATGAAAAATGATTTTCAATTGAAATATGGAAATTTTCGGTATTATGAGATCTAGGATCATATTTAAATCTCCTGATTTATCTGGTTTTGACTGACACTGCCGTAGCAGGGGAAGCCGGAGGACACAAGGGGAGAGTGTGCTGCCTCATTACTTCCAGGTGGAGGTAGATGTCCTGGCTCCCCACTTAGCTTCTCTTGACACCCGAAGGGCGTGGGTTTCTCATTATTGCTGAGCAGATGTGGGAGCTCCATCTCCCCACTAGGCCACTGAAGATAAGTCCCCAGCTGGGAGGGATGAGACTGCCTCCTCACTGCTCCCCATGCACCCCTACTGACACTGTGGGAGTGGGTGCAGGGCTTGTTATCACCTGACAGGATGCAAGTCCCAGCTCCCTGCTAGGAATGGCGGGGACACCACCCCAGCAGGGGGAGTTGAGTCACTTCATTACAGCTTGACAAGGGTGGAAGTCTTGGCTTCCCTCCCTCCTTCGCCTCATCTGGCTAGGACAGGAACGGGGCACAGTGTTTTTCTATGGTGTTTGGCTGAAATAGAGCAGGTGTTGTCTAAAAGTTTTCTATTTTGCTAGGCAGCCCCTTTCCCAGTCTTTTGGCTAGACACAGCAGGCTTTTGTTTTGCCTGTGCCGATTGCCATTTCTGAGCTGCCAGCTTCTTCAGCTCAAACTCTCTGATGTATGTGGCCAAACAAAAGCCCGGGGAACTCATCACAGTGTCATTCATTGAGTCCCAATGTTCCTCACGGCTTTGCCTTTGCCTCTCCACCTGTCAGAGTCTTCTTGTGTTTGCTTTAAATGTAACATCCAGAGTTTTGGTTGTACTTAGCAGAATAGAGAAAAGTACCTCTACTCAGTCTTCCTGAAAGAAGACATCTCAATATGTTTTAAAAGCTTTTGACGCAGTGGCTCACGCCTGTAATCCCAGCACTTTGGGAGACTGAGGCAAGTGGATCATTTGAGGTCAGGAGTTTGAGACCAGCCTGGCCACTATGGTGAAACCCCACCTCTACTAAAAACATAAAAATTAGCCAGATGTGGTGGCAGGCGCCTGTAATCCCAGCAACCTGGGAGGCTGAGGCAGGAGAATCACCTGAACCTGGGAGGCAGAGTTTGCAGTGAGCTGAGATCATGCCATTGCACTCCAGTCTGGGCAACGGAGCGAGACTCCATCTCAAAAAAAAACAAAACAAAACTCTCAGGCAGGCAGAGTCGAGAATTACTGGTATAGGCTGGCACCTCCATGAAAATAGGAACTGTGTTCATCCCTTGGCTATCATAATATCTGTACCTGGCAAGAATATTCATCAGTGAAGATTTTGTGGATGGTCTGATGGAAGGAAGGGAGAATTAATGGATAAATAGATGAATGAATAAATGAATCATCTGTGAATATCAGAATAGAACTAGGAACCAGATCGAGTCACACTCATCTATGCCCTATATATAAATAACTTCTATATATAAATAACCCATATGTATAAATAGCCTGGCCCCAGAACCAGCAATAGGGCTTGACCAGCAGGTGGTGCTAAAGAGCCCCAGGTGTGGGATGAGGTGGCAGCTGCAGGCAGGTGTCCTTCAGGTCACTTGACTGAAAGAGACAAAAGTTACAGGAACTCCTAATCACCTGGGAGCTCTCTCTTATAAATGCCGCATCTGCCTCTCTTTTTCTCCTGCTAGCTCTTTTATTTAGTTCAATATCATCAATCACTTTTTTCTTCCTCAAGAAGAGAACAGCCTGAATAACTTTGGTCTTTGAAAGTATATTGCTCAGAGTTTAGTCTCCAAGGATTCGGAGCAAAATGAAAACATTATTCATCATGTCCTGAAATGATACTTGTGTGTGTGCTGGGTTTGGTAGTGTAATCACTGTGTCCTTGTCTCATGTTAGCACGGATATCCATATTTTCAAATTCCTTGGAATCTTTATTTAAAGCGTTTGTTTATTTTCCTCTTTTCACAGTGAAAAAGAGGATGATGTATTCACTATATCCCTTTCTCATGCTAGCACAGATGTCCATGTTTTCAATTCCCTGGAATCTTTATTCAAAGTGTTTATTTATTTTATTCTCTTCACAATGAAAAAGAGGATGGGGTAGGGGAGTATGTGAAGTTCACTGGAAGGTCTTAGCAGATGGGTGCCCTTTGGGCCTTTAAGTGAAACTTGCTCTTGAGTCACTCTGGAATCTCTTATTGCAGGCACCAAGCCCTAAAAACTACAGAAGCCTCTGTTTCCACATCATTAAAATGGGGGGCAGAATTATTTTGGTGAGGTCACCAGCACGATGAGGATTAAATGACGCAATATGGAAAATCTCCCAGCCTGATGCAATCATGAAAATATTACTTTTCTTTTTCTTCTTTTTTTTTGAGACAGAGTCTCGCTCTGTCACCCAGGCTGGAGTTCAGTGGCATGATCTCAGCTCACTGCAAGCTCTGCCTCTCAGGTTCAAGCAATTCTCCTGCCTCAGCCTCCTGAGTAGCTGAGAGTACAGGCATGTGCCGCCATGCCCAGCTAATTTTTTTTTTTTTTTTTTTTAATATTTTTAGTAGAGACGGAGTTTCACCATATTAGCCAGGGTGGTTTCAAACTGCTTTCCTTGTGATCTGCCCTTCTCGGCCTCCCATAGTGCTGGGATTATAGGCGTGAGCCACCGCGCCCAGCCTCTCTCTTGCTTTTTGAGGTTAGAAAGTAAGATATAACTGAGCTGGGCTTTTAATGCTGCCTTTCTTTCTTTTTTTTTTTTTTCTTCTTCCATTTAGTGATAATATCCTTCAGCTTTCCTTTCCTGCACTTAGCTTTAAAAATTCCAGCCTGTCACACCAGGGCTAGGGGTTGTGGGGAGTATACAAACAAGTTCAGTCTCTTAAACCAAATTATAAAATGAAAGAAGATCACAGACGTGTAGGAGGAAAGGGTTTGATGTAGCTCTGTCATTCCTCTCCTTCCACTTCCGATGACTAATTTAGAAGTTACGCATAACATCTCCCTGCCCCTTTTACAAGAAACCATGAGATCTATTTTATCTAAATCTCGGTTCTGGTTAAAGCAGTTCTTCTGCTAAGCAACTAGTTTGTTTTCATTTAAATGGCGCTGAGAATCTTATAACTGATCCTGTTTCCCAACACTGGTACAGTGAAATAGATTTTAAAAACAGACAGAGAGATCTGGAACCCAAAGCAGTCTCTTTCTTAATCCACTGAAAAAATTTTAAAACAACTTGATTGAGGTGTAATTTTCCTATCATAAAATTCACCCATTATAAGTGAATCATATAATTCAGTTATCATATATTCAGTTAGTAAATTTACAGAATTGTATAATCATCATCAGAATCCAATTTTAGAACATTTCTCTCTTTTCCAAAAGATCCCTGCCTGTACCCCGCTCCAGGCAACCACTAATCTATTCTCTGTCTCTATAATATAACTTGCCTGTTCTGGACATTTCATATAAATTGAATCATTCAATGTGTTGCCTTTTGTGTCTGACTTCATTCACCTAGCATGTTTTTCCAGTTCCTCCATGTTGTAGCTTGGAATAGTACTGTGTTTCTTTCTAATGACAAATAGACCACATTTTAATCAAAATCCATTCACCAGTTGATGAACATTTGGGTTTTTTCCACTTTTTGGTTGTTATGAATAATGCTATGAATATCTGCATACAAGTTTTTCTGTGGTCACGTGATCAGTTCTCTTGGGTATATAGCTAGGTGTGG